GATTTTTCCGATTCAGCTCTGATCCTGAGTTAGTTCATCAATTCCAATGGATATCAAGCTATGGCCTTGATTGCGGATATGCGCCAGAAATTCGTTTTTACTTTCAGCAAGCAGAACTGAGCAAGAAATGCATACTCACACCGCACTTTTGGTATGTATCATTACCTATTTCTGGTACTGTGACAGGGAAAAACAACTGCTAAACAGGGTAAGGTAGCTGTACAGGGATGTTTACGTCCCCAAATCGACATAACCGTGCCGCGATTTAACAAAAGAATGTAGCATTTAGCAATACAGTTTTAATTTCACAACCTAACAGACCTATATAACAGCTAAATGTGCCGCTGCAATCACTGCTGCTGCTATACTTTATTCATATTCGTTGATCATATACCTACATACACACACACACACACTCATACATACACATACACACGCACACTCACATACATACATGTACACACACGCACACACATACAGTTATTCAAAAACAAATATATACACAGATAAACATTCAGTGATCATATACCTACACACACATGCACGCACACACGCACGCACACGCACACACACACATATATATACACACACAGTTATTAAAAAACAAATATATACACAGATAAAAACTTTGGTCTCATTCAAAAACGGCTGCACATAATTACTTACCGGCAGGTAACACCATTTTTTTCACCGGTCCATACCTTCCAAATAATCGTTTCAGTTCGGTAGCATCAACGCTACCGGGTAGATTTTTAGCAATAATAACGGTGTCGCTTCTTTTGACTGCTGGCCGTGAAAATGCATCCAAACATACACCGTTTGCCAGCAAGAAATCCCGAGTTTCACGCACCAGACGTGTTTCGGCCAAAGCAAGACGTACTCCAGCACTGCAAGGACGGGGTTAATATCGCGGGCAGCCAAACGGATTCTTCTTAATCATGACCAAGAAGAAAAATCTGCAGAATGTTACCTCGTTTCGCTCACACCGAGCAGCAGATCACTCTTCACAACATCCAATTTTTCGGCCAAAGTTTCAGCAACTGCATTCGCCCCCAGAAACAACGTGTTCCATGAGTGTGCTTTCCCGGCATTCTTCTGAAAACAGCAACGGAATCTTGAAAAATAACTGAGAGAAGAAAAGCACTGTTTGATTTCTTGAAAATGCACCTTCAGCTTTGCAAACTTAGCTTTTTGAAATGTGCTTCTGCCCTCGACATTCGCACTCGCGGTTTTCTCCTGCTTCTCTTCACCTGGCAAGATATGAAGCATTCGGCCCTAAAAAAAAATATCCCAAACTTACAACAAAAAAATTTTTTCTGGCAAATAAGGGATAAAATGAGTGGAATATTTAGAAGATTAGCTGTCAGTGGTAAAGTGTACCTTGAAAATGGAACCGTCTAATGCCGAGAATGCTGCAACGGCACTTTCCG